TTCCATCTATGTATTTCCACTCGTCCACCACCCATCCATGTCTCATGTCCACCCATCCATCCATCCACGCAGGTCCTTCCGCCCTCCCCTCATCCGGTGTTTGGGGCCATGGTGCACCGTGATGAAGCATTCGAGGCCATCTCCACCCAGTACTCCAAGATTGTGGCCGCGGCGGCCGTGGGCGTGGACAGCTAGGGGTGGCCGTGGGCTCTGCGGGGCCCTCCCTACCTGTTGGTGAGGATGAGCCGGGTGCCCACGTCTGCCGCAGCCACCCTGGCACCGTGCTCGCCTCCTGCTGACCGTAGTGGCAGCCACGCACATTTGGGGCACAGAGGCCGAGGGACCCTCGGAGGCCCTTGTGCAGGACAGCAGGACGCCCATCCGCGCTGTGTGAATTCAGCCCCTGGCCCAAAGCCATAGCAAGGGGACCCCCCGCCTCAGAGGCGCTATTGGGGCCACCAGGAAACATCAGGGGGTGGGGCTTGGGGCTGGACAGGCTCAATGCTGACCAGGCCTCACCTGGGCCTGGCCCTCTGGGATGGGCCTCCGTGGCAGGGTGGCAGGGTAGGGGTCCTGGGCCTGCGGTGGCGCAGACCAGCGTGCAGCAAAAGCACATCCTGGGTGTGGCACTCGGGCTGATGGGGCTGAGCCAGCCTCAGGACACTCTCAGGCGTGTGGCCCCAGCAGACCACGGCTTTGGGTGGGCTCCGGTCGGTGTATGAGGGGGTGGGCTGAGCTGAGAGGGGACAAGGGGGCACCAGTGCCCCTAGTGCTGGGTATCTCTGGAGGTCACTGCTGGAGGGGGGTTGGCGACAAGGCAGCCACACCCCCTGGTCCCCTAGGGTTCCCAGCTGGCCAGTGTGCGCCTGTGCCCAACCCTGCCCATGCAGCAGGGGCCCCCGTGGCCTTCCTCGGAGACCCCCCACCCCGAGTTGGGCTGAGGGTGAGGAGAGGGTTTGCAGGGCTTGCCCCCTGGAGAAGGTGGGGGTCTGTGGCCCCTGCCCCGAGCCCCTGCCTTCACCCAGCGTGGTTTTCTGAAGAAACAGATTATATATTTATATTTCTTATTTTTGTATCATTTTTCAGGTGTCATTTTTACCTTTGCTCTGACCCTCGCTGGCTGGCAGGGGGAGGGGGAGGAGGTGGCCTGACGGCCCCCCCAACACAGACCATGCAGCTCTCACAGCTGGTTCTGGGAGGGGAGACCTGATGGGGGTGGGAGGCAGGGCGGCCCACTCCCCAGAGGCCACATCAGGGCCTCTCTCCTGAGCGCGTGTCAGCTGCAGGCCTCTGTATACAGCAGTTCTGTCCCCGGGGCGCAGAGCAGGAGTGGAGGTGTCCATGTGGCGGGCCTTGGCATCTCCTACAGAAATGGGAGGTTTAGTCGGAGCCCCTTCTCAGCAGAAAGGGCAATGAACGCTGACCAGGCCCTGGAGGCTGTGGCCAGGGGTGGGCGAGGGGCAGGCAGTGCTGCAGAGACTATGCACATCTGGGCAGATGTTCCAGCCCCCACCCCCCCCACGTCCCATGGGCCTGGGATGAGGGTCAACCTCCTCCGTCCGGAGCCTAAGCCTGCTCCGTGTGTAAATAGTGGTGACCGCGTGGCTTGTGCCCTACAGGGATTGTCATGTCCGAGGAGCCGGTGAAAACTACTCCCTGTAGCATTTTTTAAAGAAAAACCTTGTTTGTTTAAAGAGAAAAGAAGTCTTGTATAAATTATAATTTTTATTTAAATAAACCTGAATTGCTTTGTGCTAAGGCATGGACCTTGGGGGGTATCAGGGGGGTAAGGGCCATGGGCCATGGGAGTGAGGGTGGAGGACCTGAAGGTGGGAGGAAGGCAGGTTCTGGCCTTCTGTCCTGTGGCCATGAGCATCTGATGGCCCACGAGTTGCACTTTGTCATCATCCTTTGTCCCCCGAGAGGAGCCCAACTTCTGTGACCTCGTCCTCTCCTCCCATGGCCTGGGAGTGGGAGGGACCCAGGGCCTCAGCCACACCAGACACAGGCACTGGGCACAGTGGGGGCAGGAACCTGCCCAGCACCTGCTCAGCTCTGGAACTGCCCCAGGGCTGGGCCAACCTGGGCCAGGGCCTCATGGCCACCAGCCACTCCCAACCCCGAGCCCTGACTCATCAGAGGGAGGTAGGGGGGTAGGGACAGGACGGGAGCCCAGAATGAGCCAGCACTGTTCACATGCTGGGCTTCCTGAGGACGGGTGTCCGCACCGTCCGTCCACCCGTCCTTCTGCTCCTCCATTCACATCCCTCTATGCACTGCCCAGCCCCCTGTGAAAATGATGGGCCAGTGGGACAAGGTGCCGACAGCCCTCAGGGTCAGGCAGGCCACCTAGGGCCACCCCTGGAGGCGGCCGAGTCCCACCAAGCAGGAAGGTGAAGGGCAGAGGGGTGAGGGTGGGGGTGGGGGGATTCCCAGTTCCTTCCTTATAACAAGGCCACACCCTAAGGAAGGTGTCATAGGCTGTGACCTGATTGACAGGTTGGTTCCACCTCTTCATTCTCATACATCTTCAGATCGACATAACATCTGACTGCCATACCTCCCATGGGTGCCTCCATCCATGGCTCTGCCCCATACCCTGCCTGTGCCCTTCCATCTATGTATTTCCACTCGTCCACCACCCATCCATGTCTCATGTCCACCCATCCATCCATCCACGCAGGTCCTTCCGCCCTCCCCTCATCCATTTAGGGCTCTCCTCATAGCCATTCCACCTGTCTACCTCCACATCTTGTTCCTCCCTCTCTCCCTGCACCTGCCCTTGCCCCCGCCCGTCCTCCTGTGTACCTCCACTCTCCCATCTGTCCGCCCACCATCCATCCATCCACAGGGGAGCTGGCCTCACCAGCCCTGGGCCAGGGGCAGGGATGCAAACAGTGAAGGGCCCCGCACCCTCTCCTGGGTGATGCTCAGGCACAGAGACACTGCCACTTGCCCAGCTCAGAACAAACATAACCACTCTGCACCTGCCCCCTGCCCCTCAAGCTCACGCCTCTAGGCGCTCAGCCCATGGTGTCTCCATGCCCCACAATCACTTCCCTCTGCTACCGGACCCCACAGAGCCAGCCCAACATCCAGTCTGGCCAGTGTGACCTCACATATCACCCCTCCTCACGGACCTCCTCAGAACACCACGTGCTGGAAGGAAATGGGGGCCCCTCAGAGGAGGCGTGAAGGAGGGGCTGAGGTCACCTGGGGGAGGGGTGTCCCTGGGAAGCCTATATCCACGCCCCCTGTCCTGTGCGGGTGCCCTGCCCAGCTGCACACCAACAGGGAGGCCTATAGACTGGGCAGTCTGATTGCTGGCCGAGGGCATGGGCAAGAGAAGGGCCAGGAGCCCAGCCGAGTGGACACTCCAGTCTCCCCAGACAAAACAGACTCCAGGCCGGGGGTCTTTTACTGCAGAGCCATGGTCTCAGCCTCGGGATACAAATCCCACTGCCCGGCAAGAGGGGGATGCTGAGCTCACCCCAGACTGGACTCAAAGGTGCACACAAGCTGGCCACCACTGACGTCACCAGCTGAGTGGTGCTCCATGGGGTCAGGGAAGATCAACAAGGGCCACCCTCAGGCACCTGGACATCGGGGTAGCGGCCATGGTCAACTGCACACAGCTTAGAGCACATCCGATATGGACAGAGCGAGAGTCTGTCCCAGAGGCACGAGTTATGTGTGTCTGTCTGTCCTGGGGACACAAGAGTGTGTCTGTCCCAGAGGCACGAGTTATGTGTGTCTGTCTGTCCTGGGGACACAAGAGTGTGTGTCTGTCCCAGGGGCACAGGGTGCCTGTCGGTCTGTCCCAAGGGCACAGGGTATGTGTCTGTCTGTCTCAGGGGCACAGGGTGTGTGTCTGTCTGTCTCAGGGGCACAGGGTGTGTGTCTGTCTGTTCCAGGGGCACAAGGTGCTTGTCTTATCTGTCCTAGGTGCCAGAGAGTGAAAGCCTGTCCCAGGTACTCAGGGCACGTGTTTGTCCCCAGTAAACAAGGGTGTGTGCCTGATCCAAGGACCGGCGGGTGCGTGTCTGCCCTGTGTCTGCCCCAGGGACATGAGGGCGTGTTTAACAGGGACCACGCATAGGTGTAGAGCACCAAGAGTCCCATCCTTCGCAGAGCGAGCCACCTGCTGCTTTCCCAGGCCCCCTACAGTGGAAGTTCAAGATATGTAAGAAAAAAAAACAGTTTGGAAATTCTAAGCTGGCGGGTCCAGAAATCAATCTCTCTGTCTCTGTCACGCACACGCACACACAACACAATCCTACAAATGGACAGCAGTCGGTGCTGGAAAGCCCAGTGCTACAAAGCAATCGCAGTGAGACCGGAGCCTGCATTGGGGGACAAATGTCGTGTGGGACCCACAGAGTCCTGAGGGGGCCCCTGACGGATGGGCCACAGGTAGAAGGACATTGAGTGCTGACATTCAGGTGACACTTGTCACAGGGTCCCTGAGACAGCTTCCAGGCCATCGAGTCGCAGGAGGTCCATGGGGTGGACATGCCCTCGAGAAAACCTCACAGTGGAGGGGCGTGGGCGGGTGGTGGCCCCAGGGAGAGGGGATCGGGGAGCAGGGAAAGATCTTCTTGCCGGAGAAAACTGCAGGTCCAGATGGACTGGGCCCCTCTCGACCGAAGCCTCAAGAGCCAGACTACCCTGGTGGACACGGGGCCGCGGCCCCGAGCGGAAGGGGGCCGCTCCCTGTTCTGTGGGAAGAACAATTTTGTTGTTAGAAGTTGCTGAGACAGGAGGAAGGGGTTTGAGGTCGAGGGAGGGAGCACATGATAACTCCTCAATGAGCCCTTCACACATCTAACCCACAGGCGTCCCAGGAAAAGGAGCGGGCCCACAGGGGAAATGGCCAGGGATCAGGGATATTAGCATGGAACCAGTGACCAGGGATCAGGGTGGTTGGAAGGTAACCAGTGACCAAGGATGGGGTAATTGGAGTGTGACCAGTGACCAGGGATCCGGGTAGTTGGAGGGTGACCAGGGATGGGGTAATTGGAGTGTGACCAGGAATCCGGGTAGTTGGAGGGTAACCAGTGACCAGGGATGGGGTAGTTGGAGGGTAACCAGTGACCAGGGATGGGGTAGTTGGAGTGTGACCAGTGACCAGGGATCGGGGTAGTTGGAGGGTAACCAGTGACCAGGGATGGGGTAGTTGGAGGGTAACCAACTACCTTCTCCAGGGGCTAGTCCAGCAGAGGGACCTGGGCTGGTCCAGTGCCTGGAGAAGGCGAGTAATTGTACCACCGCCCCCCTCCTTGTTGCTGCTTAATTGATTCTGGTTCACAGGGACCTCGTGACAAAGCAGGACTGTCCCCTGGGGCTTTGTAGCCTGGGATCGCCAGCTGTGCTCCCAGGAGGCCGCTGATAGGCTTGAACTGCCAACCTTTCAGTAAGCAGCTGTGGGTGGAGCATTGCAGGGCTCCTTGTCCGGCATGAAGGGGTCAGGTAAGTATCACAGACGGAGAAGCAGGCTGCGCGCCATGGAAGGATCTAGAAGGACCTGCCAGGTGGGGTGAAAGGAGCGAGCCTTAGCTGCAACTTTCCAGCTGCCAGCGGTGTCCCCGCAGTGCCCTCTGCTGCCCACGTCCAGCACTGAGCCAGCAGAAGCCAGCCATTGTGAGCACCCACTCACCCGAGTTCCCATCCCCATGCTGCCCCGAAGCTCGCAGGGCCCCCGGCGCTGCCCACCCGCACGGACAGAGCCCACCACACGCCTGCAGGCCGACAGACATACCACAGGAGCTACCCCCAGGGCCCGGGCTCTTCCACAGTGACCGCCTGGGGATGTCAGCGTGGGAACACAGGCTCCCGAGGGCGGGTCCCTCCCTCCCAGGACCCAGCAGAGGGGTCTGGGCCAGGCCTCAGGGGACACACTGGCTTCTCAGACCCCAGGGAAAGCATGTTCCAGAACCAGGATATGTTGGGACCGCTGGCTGGATGGCCAGGGAGCCCTGCCTGCCTCCAGTCCAGTCACGATACTTTCCAAGGATGGACAGCGGTGCCTCCTTGCTAGTCAGGGACACTGCCCCGAGCCTGTGAGAACATTCCAGAAGGTCAAGTGAACTGATGTGGCAGGAAGTGGGGGTGGGGTGGGGAGCGAGTGCTTGTCCATGGGGGACAGCTCGGAAGAGGAGCAGGGAGAGCGGTTAGTTGCACAATGGAAGGGTGTCATCCCCCACCATCCAGTGGCTGCTGGAAGCCTCGTCAGCCTGGTGTATGCTGGGTAGATCCTACATCCCAACCCCCACTGGAGACGCTTGACCAGGAAAAAGGAGGGACGTGGAACGGGACTTTCAGCCATCCTGGGCTCCAGGAACTGGACAAACGCCGGGCACTATTGCCCTGAGATCATCCTCTCTAACTTGTAAGCCAGAAACATCCCTGAATTGTCTGGAAAGCCGGCTGGTGGGTTAGCTACGCTGGCTGGAAAGACGTGCTCTGGGCAGCCTGCTCTTGGAAGGCTGTCTACGGGGGGAACCAACAGATGCGTCTTGGGAGAACAGCCAGGCCGCTCCTGGGAAGCGAGGTCAGGGAGACTTTATCCCACGCACTTTGGGGCCTGTGGTCAGGAGAGAGCGGCCCCTAGAGAAGGGTGTCATGCTTGGAGAAAGCTGGGGAGGGACTCGTGAAGACGGGCGGACAAGGGGGCTGCAGCCATGGGCTCCCAGGGGGCGATTGTGAGGGTGGCACAGGTCGCTATGGGCCGGAACCCACTCGCCGGAATCACGATGGGTCACCCACAGCAAGGGTGGGTGGACGCCCCAGAGGAAACCCCCAGCTTGGAAAACGAGGAGTCTTCTGCCCAAAGTGTCTTTATTGTTGCCTTCTCAGACTGACCCGCCCACGCGTCCCACCCACTCTCATCTTGGAACCAGCAAGATTTGAGAGAGAAGGGGGCACCCCCACCCCACCCCCATCAGTGAGACAGGCCCGGCCCCTCAGCTGGCGGCGGGCACAGGTGTTGGGCTCTCGCCGCCGCCTCTGGGGCAGAGTCCGTACACTGCTGCCGGGCTCGGTGGCTGCCTAGGGCTCTACTCATGAATCAAGACTGGGACACAGCTTCCAGAGGGTCCCAAGCGCTCACGGACGACCGCCACTTGTCTTCGGTTTTCTTTCTTAAAGCCCCGAAGGATGGGAGTTGATGTCTCCGCTGAGGGAGGTGTCCCTTCCCATCTGACTGCAGGTCACCCAGTGGGCTCCAGGAGCCCAGAGAAGCTTCCAGGCTGGCCCTTGGGAGTGTCAGGGTGCACCGGGGCGGGCCCCCAACTGGGGCTCTGGTGTGGGCAGGGCATTGTCATGCCAAACGTGAAATGCTTACTTTTCAGCAGCTGGGTCTGATTCTAGGAAATTCCAAGTGGGCCTTAGGGCAGGCCCTGCCAAGGAAAGGCAGCCAGGGCGGGGAGTGGGGGTGTGTGCAACAGAGATGACAGGAATGTTGGGAGGGGACCTTGGTGAGCACTGAGGTTGGGCCAGCTGTTGGCCGGGAACGGCCCTCCATACTGAGGTCCCAGGGAGTGCAGGCCACGCACAGCAAGTCCTCCACTGCAGACGAAGGTGGCCACTGCTCACCACCAGCCTCCTGAAGGACGAGAAGAGCCACCTCCCAGAGGATTATAGAGACCCACCTTGTCTGTGCTGGTGCGCTTGACGCTGCCCTGGGTTCCAACGGGGCTCCCATCACATCCGCCCTGAGACCAGTGCAGTCTGCAGACATGCCACCTGCCCGGCGCTGGAGTAACGTGTCCATTGCACCACAGCCCGCCTGTGGCTGCCAGCCCTCTCTCTGTCCCTGCAGACACTCCTCCACGGCCGGACGGACAGAAGCGACTCAGGAGGGTGGAGATGTGGCTGAGTGGAAGCCCTGGACTGAAGGAGGAATGCCGTCCTCCTAGCTCCCCCTGACCAGCCGCAGTCACTGGGGTCAGAGACAAACAGATGAGGGGACGCCAAGACCCCCGTCAGGCCGAGAGCAAAGAGACGTCCAGTAAAGGCCATGGAATGAGTGGGATGACGGGGACAATGCAGGGGGACCCCACAGCCAGCAGACCCCTGAGCCGGAATGCCAGCCTGTGGGAGTGGGGGCAGGCTCAGCTCGCAAAGGGCTCCCCAGGCGTGTTTTTGTGCCCCCATAATGCCAGCTTCTCCCCGTGGCCCCCTAGAGCCGAGCAATAGCCAATCTACTCGGTGTCCACAAAGAGCGGCGTCCTGGATGGGTGATGGCCCGGATCTGTCGGGTGCTTTCCAAACTGCCCTGAGGCTGTTTCTGGAACACCCAGCCCTGGCCCCTCCCCGTGCACACACGGTAAAGCCCAGGGGCCCTGGGTGGGCCCAGTGGATTCAGAAGCAAGACTGGGTGGGAGGCTGGGGTTTGAAAGCTCTGTCTTCCTGGTCACCTGCATCACTGCTGCAGGGACAGCTGGCCTCCCACCCTCCCTCCCCTCTCTCAGATGCACCGTGGCTGCCGGGGCATCGTGAATCCAAGGGTCACAGAGTCCGGACTGAAGGGAAGACAGGGTGGGTGCAGGCAACTGCGGGAAGGACCACCTTCTTGGGGTGGGGGAATCTCCACCACCGTCTCACCACCTACTGGGTTGTGCATGTATGGTCATGTATGATTGGGTGTCTAAAGTGACTGCAGGAGAGCCGGTCGGCCCAGTGGCTATGAGGTCTAGAAGCCATGGTGCCACTGGCTCTGCGAGAAGCCCAGCGCATCCCAGGGGCGCAGGGTGCCGGATATGTACAGGACGCTGGACAACGGGCACTCGCCTACGAGGTCACTATCAACGTAAGCAACTGTGTGCTGTGGCCTCTCCTCCTCTCCTTGGTGCTGTGGGAGGGGGCGGTGTTGGCCACATCTCAGCCGTGCGATGCCTGCTTCGGCCCGTCCTCAATCCCGCGGGCAAAGAGCTGGACCAGCTGACAGTGGACCCTGCGGAGACAACAAGCCGCGCAGCTGAGCCCTGGCGGCCCCCCACCCCACCCCAACCTGGCCTCCTCTGCCTGGGCCCCCAGTTGGACGCTTGTTCGCTCACCCCCTGGGCAGCCTATGCTGTGCCAATAGTGCAGGGCACGGAGCATCCCACTGCCAGCCGGAAGGTTGGAGGTTCAACCCCCAGCTACCCCCGTGGAGAAGGATGAGGATGGAGTCTCAGGCAGTTCTGGTCTGCCCAGCAGGGGAGCTGTCAGTCAGAAGTGAGTGGAGGGGATGTGGGGGAGTGGGCTTGAAGGAGCCGGGGACCAACACCTGGGCTGAGGCTGCTCCTCACGCCCAGTCGTAGAAAACAGGTGTGCCCATGACTTATATCAGGGCCCAAGTGCTCCCCACCACCCAGTGCAGGGGGGGGGG